ATCCTGAAAAAAAAAAAAAAAACTAAATTCATTTTATGTGTGTATTGCCACAGTACATTTCTCTAGACTTGCTTCATGCTTGTGATGCTTTGGTGGTAATATTTAGGCGCTTTCTTTGTTTCTGTCTCTACTTACTATGCAAAGAATTTCAATTCAAATTACAGTAATCATTTTCACAATGGGCTCTGGGGTTAGACTATTTGGTCTGATTTCTGACTTTACTGCCTAGTTTTTTGGCCTTAAGTTGTATTAATGTCTCTTATCCTTGATTGTCTTCATTTGCAAAAATACAAACTTCTTTCTTGGGTTGAGATGATTAGCAAACAGTATCTGTTACTCCTGGAATTATGAGTACCTAATATACCACGTATAGTGTTCCCCACATATGTAGGATAAAGCCCCTTAAAAAAGACAATTTGTCCACATTGCTTTGAACTTATGGGCTGTAGAATCATGAGAAAATCAACTTCTGTTGTTTGAGCCATGCCTGTCTGTCGTAATTGTTATAGTAGCCCTGGCATATTGTATCTAAGAGCCTTAGTTTTTTGACTTTCACATTTGTTGCAGTATCTTTTGCTCTTTTGAAATAGGGTCACCTGTAGCCCAAGCTGGCCTCTTGAACATATGATTATGTAGCATCCCTGTAGACCTCTGCCTCCATTTCCCAAGTACTGGCATTACAGATATGCTCCCACCATGGCTAGCTTTTGTAAAGATTTTTGATTAAAACGTTACTTATAATTTTAAGTGTAGAATTGGTTTTTTAAGAATAATTTTGTTGGGACTGGAGAGATGTATGTTCCCAGCACCCACATGGTGGCTAAGAACCGTCTGTAACTCTAGTTCTAGGGGATCTGATGCCTTCTGACCTCTGCATGTACACACATGTAGGTAATACATTCATACACATAAAATATAAATAATAAAAAAATATATTTTATAAAAATATTTTTTATCTGGTCTTAGAACTTAGAAAATAGTACTGGGTGGTTTTTTTGGTCTATTTTTAATTCATATTCATTCTCATTCCCCCCCCCATTCTTTTTCTTTCTTTCTGCCTCTAAAGACATTGGGAAAGGAGTTTTGCAAGTATTCTACGAAATGGATAGTAAATGTGCTAGCTTTTTTGTAGGGTCTGTTCTTTTCGTGACAGCTGATGTGAACAATCACTCTTTGCTTTTCCTGTTGATGTTCATAACTTCATAATGAGGAAGAATAATAACACTCTGGAAGCCCTTCTGATTTGGCAGTGTTAATTAAAGGATTTACTTTTTTAAAAAAAATCCATTTCCATTAGCTCTAATACATGAGGAAATTTTATACAACTTTAAATAGAAGCCAATTTTCAGATTTCATACCTGAATTAGAACTTATATAGTCATATATACAGGTAGCTTGTAGACAAGCACTTTCAATACAAACAGCCAGAGAAACCTACCTGAAGATAACATACTGCTTGGCCATCAAGAAGTACAGAGAAGAGAGACTTTTGTAAACTTTCGTCTCCCAAGCTTGTACTCAAATACTTGCTGATTGGAAATTGCAGGTTTTGGAACCAGAGGAGTACTGTAGCTGAAGCACAGAAAAGGCAGCTCCATTAGACTCTCTGTATATTTGTTGAATCCTAGGGCTCACTAGAATGGGAACCTTTACACCCGAGCTAAGCAGAAAAGTTGTGAAAATCAGCCATGGAGCTTTCTAGTATATTTATAAAACAAAAATTAAATTTGCTATCATTTTGGGACTACGGTTCTAAGCATTTAGCAAGATTTCAGTTGAAGCTTTGGAGGCAAAGAAAACCAAAGAGTCAACTAAGTTTTGAGCATTGTGCAGTGCCCTAACAGAAAGAATGCTGACCACACTAAGGAAAAAGATAGCTTGATGAGCAAAGATTACTACATCAGCTCCATACCAGTGACAAACACTTCTAAAAAAATACTGTATTATTTCTATTTTTCTATGTGTATATTGCCTGCATGTACGTAAGTGACCCTGTGTTGTGCAATGCCCGTGGAGGTCAGAAGAGGGCATCTGGTCCACTGGAACTAGAGTTACGAGTGGTTGTTAGCTGCCATGTGGGTGTTGGGAACCAAACCTGGATCTTCTGCAAGAACTCAGCCAGTTCTCTTAACTGCTGAGCCATCTCTCCAGCCCTGACAAACACTTTTAATAACCATGAATATGTCAAGGAAATAGAGGGAACTATAGAGAAAACAGGTAAAAAATTATTGAGTTATAGAATATTGGAATATCTAAAAGATTCAAATGAAAATTCAAGAAGAGGAAAGCACATCATCTAAAATTAAACTCATTAGGTATGTGTAGACAATTGAGTATATTAGAAGATTTAGTCAATAGAAAATATTCAACTGATGAAATAAAATGTAAAAAAATAGAAAAGAGGATTTAGTATAGGTCTCATACACATGTAACTGAATTGCCAGAAGAAGAGAATAGAATTAGGCAGAAGTGCTTTTTAAGAGGCAATGCATAGAATGTTAAAAAAAAAAAAAAAGGCTAATAAAATATATAAACCGA